AAAACCAAATCTTACTACCTGAAAATGTTAAGAAAAAAAACCAAATATGATAAATGAGTCAAATTCATTATTCAGAATTTATTTTCTCATTGAAATTCGTCCAGGCTTGTAATCATGGTAATACTGGAGAAGAACGATTTTAAGGAGAAACAAAACTTTACTGTTTGAGTTTGATTATTTGAAAATCGTATTTTGGTAAGTACAGCAACAAATACAGATAAGAACGGGCTTCATTCAAAACCAAATATTGCCTTATTAAAATGTTGATGACAAATTCCTTCTTCAGATTTTATTTCCCTATTCAAACTCGTTTGAGGAATTTATTACTCACTCATCGGTACAGCGGATACAACTTAATAGGTACTTCGAAGGGTGAAAAGCTATATACCGTACATTCATTTAACTATGCACCGTACAGAAGGATTTATGTGGTCAGCTATACACTGTACACAACGCTTCTTTTCGGAATAAAATATCGAAAAATAACATATGTATGAAAGATTTCAATGCCAATTATTGAAACAGCTATACTTATTACGTACACACAGTGCATGGCCTTCTATCAGAAAAAGAGTTGCAATATTGAATATAGAATCATATCGGATGAGACGAGCGCCAACTTCTTTGACAAGTATTTGCACATGTTTTAGTAAGCGTTCTTGTTTTAGGAAAATAATGAGACTTCTCTAATCATCAACCTACGACCAAATCATTTCTTAAAACAACAATTATGTTTAGATTGAGGTACACATTGATATTATGTAAACAAAACAAAGACTTTCTTATCGTGTCAGAAGAAAAATCGATCACGTCCGCTTGGTTAGTACCTATATCCGTTGTACCGATGATACACGGTGTTACTGGACAAGAACGAGTGAGAAAAGCGACAGTGTCTTGTAAATATGTGGATACACTTTCAATAGTCACACACATATTTTATATACATTTATTTCGGGAATTATTTTTTAATTTATTATGCGCTCTATTGATGCCAGATTTTCCTTTTTTTTACTATCAATGTTCAACCACACCTATATATGCATTCTTATATTATAGGACTTTCCTCGTAGATGAAACAGGGGTTTTATCCAAAAAGGACGTCACGTTTTGCAATGAATAAGATCTATATTATTTTTATCGTTTTCAAATGAAATGAATTGAATTGAAAATTTCCCGACTATAGACAAGACAAGACGTATACATGTACATATACGTAGACTTCGTTTGGATGTGATATGTCTTTAAAATTAATACAGTTGAAATAAGACTGAGAATGAAACTTTTTTCTGTAACTATGTACCATAAATTTAGGTACATCTCTCTACGATTAATCAGTTCAGTTCAGTTCAGTTTCTTGTATATTCCTCCATTAATTGTGGAGCACTACCCATAGGGTATAATTGTAGCAACTATATACACCTTAGAACATAAGGAAACATTTAATTATGTACAGATGACTGAATTTAGGCAATAATAATTACTAAATAATTAATATTATAACTAATTCATAGGATTGTCATCATAAAATTTTAAAAATAATATTCATAATGTGCTGAAGTGTAAGAATAAGTTAAGTAAGAACTGGATATATTTACAAATAAGAATTTAGAATTTAAGTGGTCTTAAATTAAACTTTCTTATAACTGTTAGTTAAAGGTGCTATACGTACACCAGAATTTATAATGAAAAGGTTATTTTATAAGACTTATGTAAAAGGGTTGGGGTTTAGAACGATTCATCACATATACATGTTTCCCTTCACAGTTTAAAGTTACCTTATTTCGGATCTTATCATTATTCTTTAAAGTAACTGGATATTTTAAAACTTTGCAAAATTTTTTATTTAATTTAGGTCCTAATACGTCATAAAATAGTAAGATGGTAAAGTAGGCAACTATTTTATTTTCAAAAAGTTTACTTATACTGTACTTGTGTTCAAGTTTTTTTATCCTTTTTGTCCTCTGAGTATATGCATGGCTTGGGTGAAAGAAAAGCAATTGATCTATACTCATGCAAATAACCCTTTCAATTATGAATTCTTATAAACTGAACAAGTAATAGGTTTTCTAAAAAGCTAGCCGTCTCATAGCTGATGAAAGTGGAAAATGTTTTCTCTTTGTAGTGCAATTCGTTCAAAATTGTATGTAAATTGTAGTAGATAACAAAAATTATAAAAGGCTTATACCTTTTTTTAGATTTACCAATTTTTTTTTTTTGGGGGGGGGGGGGGGGGGGGGGAGTATTAAAACTGGAAATTGGGGGGTAATGTCTTTTTATCGATTATTTTTTTTCAAACAGATATCGGAGTTGTTCGTTGGCTTTTTCTTTGGTTGTTTGCTTGTTTATTTGTGTTAGAAAAGTATGGCCGCTTCCACCTGAAAGTTTTTCGTTCATAATAGGCATCGAAAAGTGTAGAGACTAGAGAGTGAAACGTAGTAAAATTTAAACATATAAGAACACAATTAATATATTTCCAACGGTATCTCACATCTTTTCAAAAATGATCCTTAAAATGTAAAGCTTCACATATATGTATGGTTATTTTTGTTGTCGATGAAAATTTTGTCTATTCATTGTAGTTGGACTGCAATGTGGAATGCCCCACGCCTCTTTTTCTATATTTGAATAATGAGTATCCTTAACAATTAAATGTTTCTTTTTTCAGATTATTTGGTTTTATTGGACTTCTTGATTTTATTTTTTGATGAAAAATACTCAGAGTCGTGCGACGGGTAATTTGTTATATAAGACCTATTGTAAGCGCCTGAAAACAAAGTAGTTTCGCCGCCATTTTTTTTCAAATCATAATAGACGTCGTTGGTTATAAAGAAGGTGATAAGTTCTGCAAAGCTACTTTAAGTTCACTATGAGGCCATCAACATAAGAGAATCAACAAATTTGACCAAAACTTAATCAAGCATACAGCTTGATACTGTATCTTTTGTTATTGTTTTACTTGTACATATCTTCCTATTTATTTACTATACCATTTAATGTTGGATGACGAATAAGGCCCTTATCATACTTACCCTTAAAAGCTTGACATACTGGATTGACATAATCTTTTGTGGGAGACCGTTCGTATGTTGACATATAAATGTCTTTTTGTTTTATGATCATAGTATATGTATATTTATACTTGTTTTTACAATTCTTGTAGAAAACATACAATTAAGAATAATCTTTTAAAGTGCCAACAGTATTTTCGTCTTTTAGATTTATAATTTTCTTTTATTTCTCTTTCTCTCATTTAGCATGTCTAGTATAAATAGTCAATAAACCTCAAAACAAACATTAGAAGTTTGTTCCTGACCCTGCTCATAGTTCCAAGTAATATCTGAATTATTTTTTGCTATTAAGATTATTTTTTGTAACAAAAAAAATGTTCCGGCATGACATTTGTTCCGCTGGAACTTATTTCATAGGAAATATGTTCCACTGGAATTTATATCACAGAAAATTTTTACCCGGAATATATATTTTAAGAAAATATGTTCCAGCACTGTAAAATTTGTTCCGGAACTAATTTTTGTTACTAAATGTTAAATAAGTTCCGGGTGTTATAGATTAACATGATGCATTAACTTTATATCAAGCAAAACATTCTATAGTTGTACCTGACAAGTTTAATATTCAACATTAAAGTCTTTAAACAACACGACAACGTTCAAAATAAGGTAAATCTTTGAGAAATTCAAATTAAGTCAGCATATATATTGTACGTAGATAATATGATTAAAAAACAAATGCACAACTATGATTAACAACTGCGATAAATATTTAAAACACACTATTTCATTTTTTGTCTCGCCTTGACTGAGTCAAAAAGCGAGACATAGGTATGCTGTTTCCGGAGTCGGCGGCGGCGGCGTCGTCAACAATGTATTAGTTTGTGATTAGGTCTAGTTTATGGCAAACCATAAGTGGTAGATCAATCATATTTGGTATGCAGTTGTATTAGCATTGGCACATCTCATTTCCATGGAGATTATTTGGCCCTGCCCCCTTAGTCATGGTCTATTGACTTTGAAACTTTTGCTTATTTTACATGTATTAGTTTGTGATTAGGTCAGTTTATGGGGAACCACTAGTGGTAGGTCAATGATATTTGGTATGCAGTTGTATAAGCATTGGCATATCTTATTTCCATGGATATTATTTGGCTCCCTTAGTCATGGTCTATTGACTTTGAGAATTTTGCTAAGTTAACATGTATTAGTTTGTGATTAGGTCAGTTCAAGGGGAACCATTTAGGGTAGGCAAATGTTAATTGGTATTCAGTTGTATAAGCATTAGCACATCTCATTACCATGGAGAATATTTGGCCCCGCCCCCTCAGTCATTGTCTATCGACTTAGAAACTTTTGCTTAGTTTACATGTATTAGTTTGTGATTAGATCAGTTTAAGATGAACTGCTAATGTTAAGTAAACGATATTTGGTATGCAAATTTATTGGCATTTGCAAATATCGTTTCCATGGATATTATATAGCCTCACCCCTCTTCATGGTTCATTGACTTTGAAACTTTTACATAGTTTATAAGTTAATGTTTGTGTTTAGGTTTGTTTAAAGGGAACGACTTATAATAATTCAATGGTATTTGGTATGCAGTTGTATTAGCTTTGGCACATCTCATTTACATGGAAATTGTTTAGCCATGTACCTCAGTCATGATTCATTGACTTTGAATATTTGCATAACTTATGAAACATATTAAAGTATTGCTATTTTAATTTCAACATTTGCATAATCAAAATTACAAAAGGATGAGACATATTTCTATGATAACAGTTTATCTACAAATTCTGATATGAAGTAACATTTGTTGAATTGCAATATTCATAAATAAATGATTGATCTATACAAAATTTCTGACGGATTTTTCTTATTCTTCGCTTATCTGCCTCATTAAATTATTGTCATTTGGATATTTTTGTATGGATAATGTAATTAAACATTTTGCTATACTCCACAGAATCCATATTGGATGTTTACACCTTTTATTTATTACATTATCAATATAATACATGTTTTTATAATGTACTTGAATTATAACTTTAAGCTCACTGATAACAATGCTCAGTATAAAAGATAACTTGTATAACCAGTGGAACATATTTTCACAGACAAGAAACTTATTTCACCAGGTAAGGAACAAATCTCACAAACCTGGAACTTATTTCACTAGGTAAGGAACAAATTTCACCAACCCAGAACTTATTTCACCAGGTAAATTGTGGAACTTATTTTATAGAGATGGAACAAATCATATAGAAATTATCTGTGAAAAAAGTTCTCCCAGAATATATTTCCTGTGATATTTGTTCCACTGGAACTTTTTTCACAGGAACTAATTTTGGCGCACATATTCACAACTATTCTATATATTATAGTGAGACTTGGGAGGATAAAAAACTTTAAAATGTTGTAATGACATGTCCATTGAAGAAGACCGTAGATTGAACTTTAGAAGTAAATTGTCACGTTTTGTTTGTTGCTTAATTGGGTTGCTGTCTAAATTAATTATGTATACTTCACATCTTTAAAATCATTCATAGAAATTAAACATTGCTTAAAATATGTTAGCATACATCGTCTGAGAGTAGTTTTTTGCTCTTCTTATATTCCCTTTTAGATATATTTTTAGTCTTCTGTTCTTCAACCTCTGCTATATCTTGCTAGGAAGAGCTAGCTAGGTAGATTTAGACAACATCCAACTCAGCCAAACGATCTTGGGGTGTGTGTGGGGGCACTTATTATGTAATGAGTGGAAAGGATGAGTCGCTGGGATAGGTCACTGTTTGAAGCTTCATGAAATTGCATGAGGTCGAGAAATTTAGGTGAAATATGAGACAAGGTTGATGATTGAATCTGAAACTAATCAGATGTCGATATTTTTTTACAGATGCAATTAAAATCACCAGAGATTGTGTATATATGTCTCTAAAATCACTTTCGTAAATGTTTAAGATATTTGTCAAATCTATTTACTAGTATCTCCCCATGAAATAGCGTAACAATGATAGCTATGTGCAGGTATATATACTTATTGTAAAAAATATATGATAGCTAGGGTAACTGCATGTATGTTCTTTTATCATTCAATATATATAGTCAAATGCGTTATGTTAAAATATACTTTTTCACTCATTTGGTCTTTTGAAAAATGTTGTTTGTGCTGTATTTAGACCCCTCTACCAAGAAATATGTTTTGCATGCACACGTATAAAAATTGCGGTTTTTATCCAACGCAATCATAGGTTTGAACGTTGTTTTCAATTTAGACTTGTTAATATTTTTTCGTTTGGGCTTGTATTATATTTGCCTTCGGGTTTATATGATCCGTTCATCCTATTTTGACTCTTTCAAAATTCAAGAGTCTATCCTAAATTGAGGTAAATTATATAGCCTTCCAAATATCGTTTCGATTCCTAACATCACTGAAGAGACATTAATTGTCGAAATCCGGATATGGTGTACAAATTTTTGCACCTCATGTTTGCGGTATACCATCTTTTCCGCAAGTTTATTGTTTTCTGTTTGGTAATAAATTAATAAGATCTATTTTGTTACATCTTGTGATCCGTTTATTTGGCAATCGCCAATGGCAGTCAGCAGGGTTTAAGAACATCAGTTGTTCGACCTGCTAGTCAAATGCGTTTTGTTAAAATATACTTTTTCACTCATTTTGGTCTTTTTGGAAAATGTTGTTTGTGCTGTATTTAGACCCCTCTACCAAGAAATTTGTTTTGCATGCACACGTATAAAAATTGTGGTTTTTATCCAACGCAATCATAGGTTTGAACGTTGTTTTCAATTTAGACTTGTTTATATTTTTTCGTTTGGGCTTGTATTATATTTGCCTTCGGGTTTATATGATCCGTTCATCCTATTTTGATTCTTTCAAAATTCAAGAGTCTATCCTAAATTGAGGTAAATTATATGGCCTTCCAAATATCGTTTCGATTCCTAACATCACTGAAAGACATTAATTGTCGAAATCCGGATATGGTGTACAAATTTTTGCATCTCATGTTTGCGGTATACCATCTTTTCCGCAAGTTTATTGTTTTCTGTTTGGTAATAAATTATTAAGATCTATTTTGTTACATCTTGTGATCCGTTTATTTGGCAATCGCCAATGGCAGTCAGCAGGGTTTAAGAACATCAGTTGTTCGACCTGCTAGTCAAATGCGTTTTGTTAAAATATACTTTTTCACTCATTTAGACCCCTCTACCAAGAAATTTGTTTTGCACGCACACGTATAAAAATTGCGGTTTTTATCCAACGCAATCATAGGTTTGAACGTTGTTTTCAATTTAGACTTGTTTATATTTTTTCGTTTGGGCTTGTATTATATTTGCCTTCGGGTTTATATGATCCGTTCATCCTATTTTGACTCTTTCAAAATTCAAGAGTCTATCCTAAATTGAGGTAAATTATATGGCCTTCCAAATATCGTTTCGATTCCTAACATCACTGAAGAGACATTAATTGTCGAAATCCGGATATGGTGTACAAATTTTTGCACCTCATGTTTGCGGTATACCATCTTTTCCGCAAGTTTATTGTTTTCTGTTTGGTAATAAATTAATAAGATCTATTTTGTTACATCTTGTGATCCGTTTATTTGGCAATCGCCAATGGCAGTCAGCAGGGTTTAAGAACATCAGTTGTTCGACCTGCTAGTCAAATGCGTTTTGTTAAAATATACTTTTTCACTCATTTTGGTCTTTTTGGAAAATGTTGTTTGTGCTGTATTTAGACCCCTCTACCAAGAAATTTGTTTTGCATGCACACGTATAAAAATTGCGGTTTTTATCCAACGCAATCATAGGTTTGAACGTTGTTTTCAATTTAGACTTGTTTATATTTTTTCGTTTGGGCTTGTATTGTATTTGCCTTCGGGTTTATATGATCCGTTCATCCTATTTTGACTCTTTCAAAATTCAAGAGTCTATCCTAAATTGAGGTAAATTATATGGCCTTCCAAATATCGTTTCGATTCCTAACATCACTGAAGAGACATTAATTGTCGAAATCCGGATATGGTGTACAAATTTTTGCACCTCATGTTTGCGGTATACCATCTTTTCCGCAAGTTTATTGTTTTCTGTTTGGTAATAAATTAATAAGATCTATTTTGTTACATCTTGTGATCCGTTTATTTGGTAATCGCCAATGGCAGTCAGCAGGGTTTAAGAACATCAGTTGTTCGACCTGCTAGTCAAATGCGTTTTGTTAAAATATACTTTTTCACTCATTTTGGTCTTTTTGGAAAATGTTGTTTGTGCTGTATTTAGACCCCTCTACCAAGAAATAGTTTTTGCATGCACACGTAAAAAAATTGCGGTTTTAATCCAACGCAATCATAGGTTTGAACGTTGTATGACCGGACAATTTGGACTGTGCAATGAAATTAGTTTTTAAACAACATTTTATGAATTCAATTGTTTAATGTATATTCTTGTTTTGCATTTATTTTATTATTATGAACTTTGTCGTAAATTTAGGCATAAGTGTTTTACACGGATTATGTGTCATAATCTTGGACAAAGGACTTAAATTCATTTACTCTATTCATTTAATTATTTATTCTCTGTAACAGTTTAGACAATAATTTACTTATACGTGTCGGACATTAATTACTCTTCTAATCTATTGTTATTTCTATTTGGCATATGTTAATCTTCTTAATCCTTTAATTGCTTGTGCTTATATATATTGTTATTGTTTGTATGTTACTTTACATTTGGTTTGGAGTTTGTTGTTCGGTCTTGCCGGACTGCTAAAATAAAAGTTTAAGGAGCGAAATATTCCTTCTTGATTTCCATTTAGCCGGAACGCCATTTTACCCGGCTATATCTGGTGTTAGGACATCCGGGCAACGCATCTATCGGATACCTTGTTCTACCTGTGAAGCTGATCCCCCAGCAAACAGAAAAATGGATACGCGGAGAACCAGCAATTTTGGCCGAGACTGGAGATACCAGATGTCTGATCATGGAACTACCTTTCAGACAAGAAATTTTCAACATATGGACAACTACCTATGTAAGTTTTGTGAAAAGACTGTGAACAATCAATTTCATTTTAGACAATGTATAGCAAAAACGTCATTTTGCTATAAGTGCAGAAGTTTTGGACATTACGCCAGAATGTGTAATTTTCACAGACAACCGGACGTGAAAGTTGTTAAGGTTAAATCGAAATCCAAATTACGTCGTGACGCAGAAAGAATGAGAAAATTCAAAGAACAGAAAGCTATGTCAATTTTTCCTTGTGCGGAACTCAATACTATTGAACTGATGGGCTTCTTTCCAAACCTAGAATATAATAGGGAATTTATAGATAACGTTAGACTCAGGCACGACCGAGTGAATTCCGAGAGAGTTAAATTCAAAAATAAAGTGTACACTATGAAAAGAAATTTAAAGAATTAAATCAAAAGCATACCAGTGTTGTTAGCAATCTAGAAAAACTTCAAAAACAAGGTGCAGATGATAAAAAAGATATGGAAAAATTACGGGAACGCATTACTAATCTTGAAGAAGCTAATTTTCGGATTTACGATCAAAGATGTGAAGCAATCGACCAGCAATACCAATTACAACGCGATAAAGAACATATGCGGGATCGAATCACCAAACTAGAAGACGAATTGGACAATTTTCGGAAAAATACAAGAGAAGATAACTATTCAAACCAAAACTATCGTAACAGAGGACGCCACAACCACAGAAGAAACTTTCGGAACAATTTCAGATGAACAGTAAGACCCGGGTCGTGTCTTCAAGGGCCGCGGGAATATATGACCGGACAATTTGGACTGTGCAATGAAATTAGTTTTTAAACAACATTTTATGAATTCAATTGTTTAATGTATATTCTTGTTTTGCATTTATTTTATTATTATGAACTTTGTCGTAAATTTAGGCATAAGTGTTTTACACGGATTATGTATCATAATCTTGGACAAAGGACTTAAATTCATTTACTCTATTCATTTAATTATTTATTCTCTGTAACAGTTTAGACAATAATTTACTTATACGTGTCGGACATTAATTACTCTTCTAATATATTGTTATTTCTATTTGGCATATGTTAATCTTCTTAATCCTTTAATTGCTTGTGCTTATATAT